AGATATTAGCCATCAAGACCCCATATATATACAAATAAAAAAGGGGAAAAACATATACGCAATTGATGGTAATCAACCTATGCAACCCTCATTTGGTGACTCTGTGGTAGGGGTCATGATTTCCATCTTAATGGTAGCCAACATGGTCTGCACAAGGACAAAAGATTCAAGAGTCTGACATGGTGTATAGCAAACAACCAACAATTCATATTTTTTAATATCTAAAAAAACATATGTAAAACTAGAACTTCCTATAAATAACCTATCTAACCTTAAGAAAAATCAATCCTCATATTGTGCATACGAACAAGTGTGTGTGTGTGCGTGTGTGTGTGTGTATGTGTGACAAAGAGAGAAAGAGAGAAAACAAACAATGAGCAGAAAGCACTTACTGTGCAACCTATCTTAGCAAAGGCTGACCCATCAGCAGATGCAACAGCTCCTAGATTGCAAAAGGTTCAATTCAAGCGAAAACATGAACTTAGCTAACCCCAAATTAAGTGCAATTTTAAAATAAATAGAACACAACTAAACTAACCAAGAGCAAGTGTTGTATCTCTAGCTTTTCCAAGTGCCTCGACATTAGGGCGCATGGACTCAAGTAGAGGACGCTCATAAAAGCATAGAGGAAAGAGGCATCTAAAAGCATCTACCTCCATCTCTGATGACAAATCACTAGAGGCATTTGCCGAACCCATTTTTATTCTCTTGCTTGTCAATAATGCCTTAGCCCTTAAAAAATAAAATAGTACAGCTATATAAACCCCTCACAACTTTAAGACTTATGTACAAATTTGAAGGCAATAAAATATATGCTCTGAACAACCTACTAACATAAAAAATGCCACAAGCCAAAGCCCCTAAAAATAAAATAAAAGAAAAAAACAGAAGAAGGGAAGTCATGTTACAATTAATAAAGGCAAATGAATACTATTATTGAATCAAGTTCTATTACAATCAAAGAAATTGAAAAAAACACAGTGTCAGTACCAGTGATGCAGCACATCTAAGCGGGTTTGTGCCAAACTAGGACGGAGTGAACTAACTAATTTCTTCAATCAAGAAGAATTGCAACAGAATCCTTTTAAAATTGACAAATAAAAGAAAACCCAATGACATATTGTTATGTATATTTGAATTTGAATCAAACAAAAAGGAAACCCAATGACATATTTGAATTTGAATTTAATTGAGCAAAAGATATTGTCTCCATCTAAGAGAAATGGAAACAAAGGGAAATAGAAAATAAATCAAATCTTGTAGAGCCAATATGCCTACATCCCAATTCTTGCATCCATCCCAACCAAACAAATTTATTATATTATCAATATCTAGAGGGAGAAAATAGTTAAAGATATGAATCAAGAAAATGCCTTTCATTTCTTGGCTCTCTACACAAGTAGTCAATAACAGGCCCACCCATGTGTAACAGCTTGAAGAAGAAGGAAACTCAGAGAACATACCAAGATGCAAGTTTATCAATTTACATGGGAACTACACCGAAATGATTATTAGGAGAGTTAGAAAGCAAGAAATGCCAAAATGAGATTCCAAAAAAAGACAAAATAATGGACTAGAGAGAGACAAATAAGATAGAATATTGCCATGTTAGCAAATCAGAGAGAGAGAGAATAGATCTGACCGACGAAAGAGCAGATTTGCATCTCTTCATCGTTGAGCTTCCACTCACTATTTCCAACGATCCATGTCACGACCCAACCCCCGCCCCACGGGATTAGAGACATAACTGGCTAGTAATCTACAATTACCAAAGGCCTGTTGAATAATAAATATTAAGGGGTTGGCGGAAGCCAATAAAATCACAAATCATCATCCAATGAGCTATGAACTAAAATGAATGAACACACCTTATGTACATTACTGTACAATCATCCAATCTCTTATCACATCATATACATGTACCAAAAGCAAACATAATACCCAAATAAGCATAAAACCAAAAACACTTTGCTACAAGTCACTTGATCACTTTACAAAATGGTAAATTCATATTCACCCAAAAGCCTTAGAGTTAAACCCAAAAGGAACCTCGAAGAGAGGCACTACGGTTGGCTTGACAAACTAGAAAGTAGGTTGACGCCCTTGACCTCTCTCTTGAGCTGGATCACCTACATGACAGATATGAACCATGAGCTAGAGCCCAGTGAATAACAATGTGTAAAATAAAAGGTTAGAAATAATAACCATTTGAACAGTAAAATAAAGTCATATAGTAGTAACATATATATTAAATATAGCAATCTTGTGGAACCACCAGTTCATATAGCAGTTCTTCAAATCAAGTTCATATAACTCGATATCTCATACGCATCTGGCCATGGTACTGTTACCCCCAGGCAAGGGCCATGTGAACATAGGTCGCGGTATTCTTACCCCCGGGCAACGGCCACGTAAACATAGACCATTACATTATTACTCCCGGGTGAGGGCCACATGGAGTTACGCCACGATATTCTTACTACATTGTCACTCACCGTTAGTCCCGTGTAACACTTGACTTGGATGTGGCGTTTGACCTACGTAGGCACACGAAAGCATAATGGTTCAATATTCAATTAGTCACTAACTTCTCCATTACTTACTTGTTACTAATCATTTAACCCTATCCTTTTTATTCTTCGTTTCGTTTCAAATTCATCCCATGCACATGCACATGAAAAACAATTGAAAACCATGCAATTGGAGGCCCGGAAGTCAGAAAAATCAGGAGAAAAATCAATCTGGGTTGGCCTAGTTAGCCACACGTGCGGTGGTCTGGCCGCTCATGCAGTGGTCTAGGCCACACGTGCGGACGAACTTCAGTGTGCAAATTGGGCCAAATCAAGCTTGGCCGCTCAAGTGGTGGCCTAGGCCGCTCGAGCGGTCTGGATGAAAATTCAGTTCCAATTTCTGCTACATATGGAGTTTTACCCATTTTCAAAACCCAATCTCATTTACATAAAAGAAAGGCTCAAAAACACTTCAAATTCACATGAATTGAATACTTGCAACTTCAGAGTATTAAAACAAGGCTCAATACCCAAATTAGATCACAAAAACATGAACTTTGAGTGTAATATCATTCTCAGAAAAAAAGTGGTTACCAAAGCTAAAATCAATACAATTTTTCTTTAAATTTTGAGGAGTCATGCATAATCCTACATGGAACAACTAAAATGATGTCATGTGAGCTCCAATTAAAAGCTATTTCCTTCAATCTTCATCTTTAAGGTTCTTAACAACCATTAACACTATTCCACTTTTTGATTTAACTTATTTCATGATAAAGACTACCTTAATTCATAAGATTTAGGGAGAATTTCTTACCTTACTTGATAGTTGATGAAGATTGCTCAATTCCCCTTTTCCTCTTCTTGAACCCTAGTTCTTCCTCTTTTCCCTTTGTTGGCTCTAGAATACTCAAGTCCCTCCAAACTATCTATCTCTATTTATCTTTATTGATGAGTAGATTAAGGCCTTGTTTGGGCCTTCCTAATTCTCTTTCCAAGTTTAAGTTAGTAATTCAATTCTCATCATAAATCTCTTAATTAACACCAAATTAGAACGCACTACTGTGAATCATGCTTTAATTGCCTATTTCAGACAGGTTTATTACCCTTTCCATCTATCCTTCCCCCTAATTCGCTACCATGAACACATAGCACAATTAACAAATGGTACATATAACACATGACATATAATTAGGCATAATAAACCCATAAATAAGGCAAATTACGTAATTTAACAATTAATTAAGGGAGCGGTTGTTACAATCCACATCCAACGCCACTTGCTTGTCCCATACATGATTAGAGACACTAACACTGCACTCGAAAACCTAGATAAATCGATTCACCATTGCTGCTGCTCAATCTGATGAAAGAGAAGAGTTTTCCATACAAGGACTAGAAAGAGTAAAGGAACAAAAACGAAAAGAGAAAACACAAAACACAAAGCAAAAGCAAAAGCAAAAAAAAGCTAGAAATCAACTAAATCGAGAGAAAACAATTCCAAATCGTTCGTTTTAGCCATGAAATTTAATAGATCTTGTGTGAATGTAGCAAATTCATATCAGAAAACCCTAACCTTGAGCCCTAGATTGATTTAGATAATGAGGATTCAAACAATCTGGAGGATATACGCTCTAGAAAACCCTAACCTTGAGCCCTAGATCGATTTAGATCATAGGGATTCAAACAATCAGGAAGAGATACACTCAAATCAAGAGTATAACAAGATTTTTCAGATCAAACAACTGAAGAATTGATGGAGATTGAAGGTTTGATGTCTCGAAGATCGAACGTCTCAATTTCTTTCTCTTCCTAAAGTCACACCTCTGTTCAATCAGAATAGAAGAACGTCATAGCCTTGAGCCACTGTTTAAAAGAAATAACTAGCGCACAAAACGAGATGATTTAGTTTAATTTTTTTAGAATTTAAAAAAATCTGTACAAATTTCACAACGTTTTTGAAAAACGTCATAAAAAAAAAAGTCACTGTTTGCTTTTTTTTTCTTGTAATGAAAGGAATATATTATAATGCATTGTTTTGTTTCAATAAAAAAAATAATTTATGCAAAAAAATTTATTACTTTCTTGTATTAATACGATAGAAAGCAAAAATCAATATAAAATATTATTCATAATTAGCAAAAATAATAATTTAAATAAAAAATATTTTTTATTTAATAAAATGTTAATTTTTTTTTTTTTTACACACTACTATTGTCATTGTCTCACCAGCTTGATTATCAATAATACAATTAATGACACATTAATTTTAATATCACAACCAATCATAAGTGAAAAATGTTTAATTATGGACACTACAATCACACGACCCGTTGACCCCAAGTCAACCTCCATTGGCCCTACAACACATTTTTGATCAAACTCTGCACCAAACATATCTTTCCACGTTTCAACCGTCCCTGAGCCCCACCACATCTAATCATTACCTCACACCACCCCACACTGTCTCTCGCTCTATTTCATTTCATTTCTCAAAGATCTGTTACTTCCAAGCCTTCACCTTTTTCTTCCCCACCCATCTCTCTCTCTCTCTCTAAAATCCTCCACTTTCTCTCTCTACATCTATCGCCATGTCCGACTCCATCGAACCTTCAACACCTTCAACCTCGTCGACCAATACGACGGCGTATATACACCCTCGAAGAGAGCCATTCGAACATGGTCTCATCCCCATCCCCAAGCTCATCTTCTCCGATGGTACCCAAACCCTAGGTCCTCTCAGAGACAAGCTCGTCGAGCGATCCACTCAGTCCCCGAACCACCGAGTCGACTCAATCGCCATCTCCGATATCCTCCAGATCTCGCTTGACCACGCTCGACTCGTCCTCGACACAATCGCCACCGTTCTTCACTCCGATTCGGACCCAATTGTCGCTGCAAAGCCGTCTGAGATCGAGGAAATTGGGGTTGATGTGAATGATCTGGTTTTGTTTTTGTATGTTCAGTCGTATAAGCGGTTGCTTCCGAGGACGCATAAGGATTCGGCCGCGGTGGCTGATGTGTGGCCCTCAACTTCGGCTTTCGATGGCTATTTATCGGCTCTTTCGCCATTGCAGGTGGATAATTTTCGTTTTATTAAGCAATGCTGTTGAATTTTGTGGTTAATTGTGTCTGAAAATGGGTTTGTTCAATTTTTTGTTAATTGTATGCAATGGGGCGTTAGATTAGAAGCTATGAAGCATGGGACTTTGAAAAACATACCATACACGTACCCAAAATTTTTCTTCTTAATTTTTGGCTCAACCAGACTTACCTACGTAGTACATACCAAGCCATATCACACTTCAATTGAAACAATATTTTCTTTTACTAGAGATAAAACTCCTTTCACTAGATTTCTTTTTTATTTTTTGGTTTTATCTTTAGCATGATTTTGAAATTAAACCCTAGTTTGTAAGTTATTTAATATATTGAAATTTAATTTTGATTTATACTTTTACTTTTGACATTAAATATTAATTATAGGTTGGCCTTTAACAAGTTAAACCATTTAATTAATTTTTACATTACTATAAATTTAAAATAAATATTTTTTTCAAGCATACCCGGTATCCTTTTTTTTTTTTTAATTTTACCGTATCAACATACATGTATCTACTAGTACCCATACCCGTACCTATACCCGCACCTGTGCTTCATAGATTGGAAGGAATGGATTCAAATCACAAATGGGTTTGTGAAAATTTCCCTTTTTTTGGTTGTTCATTATCTGCATTAGAGTGGCATTTTCGAGGTGATTGATGTATTTTGAATTGGTTTACAATCTATGAAGCATGGATATATGTACACAGTGATACAACAAATTATATATGGGCAGATACCTTCATAAATTTTTTAAATAATTTTTAGGAACTTAATTTTTACTATTGACACTAGATTGTTTCTGAAGATGGGAATGGGGTGTTAGATTGGAAGGAATGGATGCGTATCAAAATGGGTTGTGAAAATATGACTAGGTTTATTTGACTTTTTTTTTTCTTTTCCTTTTTTGGTTGTTCATTATTGGCATTAGTGTGGCATTTTCAATGTGATTGGTGTATTCTGTAATGATTTATAAGCTAGGAAGCATGTATATATGGATACAGTGATACAATTCTTTATGGGTAAATACCTTTATAGGGTCAATTACACTAACCTCTTCTGAAATTTGGAGAAAATACAACAAGAGCCATAGTTTTGGTATAATTATATTGACCTTCATTTTAATTTTATTGTGGCTTAAGGAACCGAAACTAATGCTAATGGTGTGAATACACAAAACTAAATAAGGTAAAATATATATTTCAGTGTGAAAGAGATAAGAACATCATTTGTTTCATTCATATAACTCACAAAATTATAATGAAAGGGGAATTAAATGTTATATGAATCATAACCTTAAGGGAGTCCAATGTAATTATGCTAAATTTGTGGGGTTTATTGTATTTTATTTTTTTTCAAACCTTAGGGAGATCAATGTAATTTACCATTTTTAAATAAATGTTAGTAAGTTAATTTTTACTGTCGACCGTGGATTGTTTCTACAAAGTTTGTTGAATTTTTTTTTTGTTAACCGTATGCAATGGGGCATTAGATTGGAAGGAATGGATGTGTATCAAAATGGGTTTGTGAAAATATGATTAGCTTTATTTGACTAGTTTCCATTTTTTGGTTGTTCATTATATGCATTAGTGTGGCATTTTCTACGTGATTGATGTATTTTGAAATGGTTTACAAGCTATGTAGCATGGATATAATAAGGATATGGTGATACAATAAATCCTATATGGGTCTTCTATATACTGATACTAAAATCAGTATCAAGTCTTAAACCATTTATATTGGCCTTATGATTTTCCCTTTTCACACTTACATGTGTTATAGGCAAAAGTGTTGTATGCGAATTTCTTTGCTTATTTAATTGTTGAAAATTGATTTTAGTATCATTATATTTTTTGATTTATTTTTATGTTTAAGCATATATAGACACATGTATTACATATTAAGTATATGTCAATTTGATAAATTTTGATAAAGTAGGTTTAATCTTACCATTTTTCTTGTCTTTTCTAAGAACTAAACAAAATATTGAAAAACTATCATTGTTCTTGTAGTAATCCTAACTACAACACCCCATTGTTATGAAAGAATTATTACAATTTTAATTTCATAATAATTCGGATACGTGACTTGAAATATTCTAAAAGTATTTGACACTTCTCAAAATTAAAGTGAATTAATTTCAAGTATTGGATACGTTTAAGAAGTATCTCATGAGCATCTACAAGTATTGGTATTTATTATTTAATATGGATACTATGCTGCGTATTTGATTTCGTATACTGTGCATTTCTTCCCTTGAGTGTCCAATATTGATTTCAAGATTTATTCTATTTTATTTTTTCAGTTCATGTACGCTATAACACAGAAATGAAGGCTGTAAAATTAGTTTGGTTAACTCCAATCAATTGGAATAATGTTGTGTCCTTATCTTTTGGCTGGATTTTTCTTCAATCACCATGTTTTATTTGAGTAAAGTTGATGGTCGTATATAATTTGCTTTAAGGCATGTCTTGTAAACTGCAAGAACATTATTTATGAACTTTTGTATTTGGTAATAATTTTATATAATTTCTGGTTTTGATATTTTGCACGCTTGTTACATCCATTGCAGCTTGTGCGTAGCAATAGCCGTCGCTTTATGCCGTCACAAGCTGATGAGGAGGCTCATCAGCTATCCTATTTACAGAAGCACCTGGCCAACATCCTGTCTCTTTTAGCAGATTCTGTGGAAGAAAGCGAAGAATCTCTGGTATGTTAAATTCTTGTGTACTATTGGCATACTTATTTGTTGGTTGGGGTATTTAGGTCATTGATATTTTTATTAATAATGAATTTCCTGGATTTTCTGCCCTGTTGGGGGTGGGATAATACCAGTCTCATTATCCTTGCCCTTGATTGCAATCGTCTCTTGCATTTTCTAATGCTTTGCAGTTTTACTACCTGAAAGATGATATTCTTTGGCTTTTATGATTTAGACACAAAAAGCAAAAGACAAAAATTGTTCACTATAAATACATTTATGATGGTTTTAACTCTTGTACTTACTGCTTAATCGTTGTTGCGATGCTATTTTGTCCTAAATTAGCCTGGTATTGGTGATTATAGTGGTTTAATATTATGTGGCACATTAGAATAAGGTTTGGGGAGAAATTTATCATAACCATAAGAAATTTCAACTCAAGAAAAGAAAGGCTTCTATTTTTTGTGAATTAGAAAGCACTAAGAAAACTTGTGCATAGAACTTGCTATGTTTATTATTTTTTTCAAGGTCCGATAAGAAATGAGTTAGAGAGAATTCATCTCCATCTCTTTTAACTAATGAAAAATAGAAATTTGCTAATTTTGGATGGGAATTAAAATTCTCTCCGAGTCTTGCCTTATTTTCTTGATATGTTAAAAAGTTAAGAGATAGGTAGAGGCTTAAAATGTTACATAATTTGAAACGGGTAGGTCATTCAATTTTGTATGCACCATGATATGAAGGTCCACTATATCTACTCATGCATTGTTCTGTCACTGCATTAGCTTTGGATATGTCTTTATATCTAATGAATATTTGACAAGACTAGGCTCCGTCTTGTCATTTCACTTTTTTTGAGTATGTTGTTTAATCATCCTGCCTAGGTGATCAGTTGATGGTAGAGAAACACTTCCAGAATGATGTTATCCTTTAGCATTTTCCTTAAACTCGATTCTCATATTTTCTCTTCAGCTTGTTTTGTGTGCAGTGGCAATAACTTTGCAGATCTTTGTCTGCTGATGTGGCTCGTCCTTCACCCGCCACGTGCCTGAATGCCATTGGTTCTTTATGCCATGTTGGATTCCAGCTGTTCTGGACTTCATCGGCTGGGTTATGTATTGGGCTCCGATTGATGGGCTTGGGTTGTTTATGGTGGTTCATGGCCTTTGTGGGCCTGTCCATGTCAGATATCATCATTTATATAACATACTTGATTTTCTATTCTTTTAGTTCTCTAGTCAGCAAGGAGTATGTTCCTTTTCAAATTAGGCTGTCAATGGATGGGGGATGGGAATCTGTACCTCCAATGTGGCACAACGAAGACCTGTTTGCTTTTTTAGTGGTTTCAAACTTTCAATTCAATACTGCAAAATTTGCATTAGAATTAGACTTCTGAAATGTATCCCTATTTAATCAAGCTTGGTCTATGGAGAATGAAGCTGATTAGGAACCAAGTATGTTATGATGTATTTTGCATAACTGGCTTTATGTTTTATGTCCTATCCTGAAAATGTTTTATTGTGATGTTATATGTGTGTTCTTAACCTGGAGACAAAAAAAAAAATCTTTAACATGATTTTAAAAGAATATGGAAAAATATTGCTTGGCTAAATGTATATTACTAAGTGTTGTCAGTATCTTACGATTCACGATATGTATCTTACAATTTGATACCTTTCAGAAAGAAATCGATACTATCATCAATACGTATCTTAAATTAAATGTATCTTACAATACATATATGATACGTGATACATAATGCAACACGTATGTTACATAATACTTAAATTTTTTTAGCAAATTTGAAAAGAAAAAAAAAATCAAATTATTTCATGTAAATTAATATTGTCAAAAATTTTCATAAAATTATTTTTTAAAAAAGCTATTTTTGAGATGAGAATGGTACTTTTTAGTTTATTTCTCGACCTTTTTACATATCTATGGTATGGTTTAAGAATCTTGAGTTATTAATGTATATGCCTTGTGAAGATAATATGTATTGTTGCATACATATTTAATTTAAGGAACTTTGCTTTTGCAATTGATAGAATTATACATTGTTTAGTGTTTTATTCTCATAATATATTTCTTTTTTATAACTATATTTATTTTTCTACCTATTTCTAAAGGTATTAAAGTATCTTACAATACGATACATGATTCAGAAAAATTAAAAAATGATACACAATTTGTATCCTGATTTGACAACAATATATAGGCATGTATACTTGAAAAAACGCTAGTTTAGGCATTTTACGTGTCTTGTTTATTGACTAATTGCAAAATGGAGGCACTCAATTGTTGATTAACCGATAGTAAGTTCAACTGTAAGAATCATGATCAGAGCTCGGGCTTCAATGCAAGCTCATTAGCTTATTAATAGGTATGGAATATTGTAGTGCAAGCCTGATAAACTAATTCATGGCTTCATATTAATCTTCTCATATAGATAAAAGTCATGTACTCTAGAGTTGCGCTTTGACCCATGTTAAGTCTTCAAGGCAAGAGCTTGTGGCTTGAATTAGCCCTATGCTGCCTATGACTAAACTAAGCCAAACCAGAGCCCAGTCTGGCCTTAAGTCAATAAATTCTTAACGGCCTGAGCCAAGTTCAACCTTTGAGCTTGTTACTGATGTTGCCTTGTCTAGCTAACAAGACCCAAACCTTCCTACCTGCAGTTTCAGTGTTAAATCTTTTCTCTAGTGTGCCATCTCTCATGCATTGTGCATTCGTGTGCAATTTGAAATTATGTTTTCTTCATTGTTTGAAGTTGCTTTAGCTCTGGCCTGGCTTCTAACAATGTTGTAATTTTTGCAGGTCATAAATTGTCATGAATCTGTCATTTACATTTTAGCACCTTTGAGATATGCCACCATCTATGGATGCTCTGACACGACTATAGTTCTTGGAGCTGTTGGGAAGGTAGTTATGAAGTCGCAGGAAGATTATGCTCTCTTTTTTTGATTGTTACCATATTGTCCTGAACTCTTTAGATCAACAGTTGTTTTGAATAGCATCACTGCCTATTCGAAAGTGATAATATTCCCTCTACAACTAGCAACTGGAATTGCTGGATTTTTGTATATCTCTTTAAAATTTGAGACTGGGGTCATGATAATAAATTAATAATATTCTAATTTAGTATATTTCAAAGTCTGAGCCTAATATTTGTTCCATCTATGCCAATGACATGCCTATTAACTTAAGTCACTCCCTTTTGCAAGAACGTATAAATATGCCATTTGTTTAATAGAGTTACCGAAAGGCTCTCAGTTTTTTGGTACCTCATTTCAGTCAAATGCTATAAATGTCTGAAAATTTTATTGTGCTACTGTATTGTTTTTTTGAGGCTAGTTCTCCTTGTGGGTGCATTATTTCTGTTTCTATAAATTACGACAACCATTTTGGAACTTCTCCACAGTAAATTAAATGGAATGCTTGGTAACATGATGACTCGTGAGGATATGTTGTTGGGAAAGAAAGAGTATCAATATTCTATAGTCTGTGGAATTCGGTCATTGGCTCCCCATAAGAATTGATACTGAAGGAGCATCCTCCTGTAATAGTAAGGGTTTTAGAGTCTTGGCAAACTGTTCTTATCTGCAGGAGCTTCAGTGGCTAGTTTTTCCCTATTAAGCATAGTGGAGTCAAATTAAGGGTTAGAATTACTGAAACTTTGACCAACATTCTGAAGTGTACAAGGATTGTAAAGAGGATACTAAAACCTTTGATTGTATGATTCTATTTCTTGGTCTCATGATTGTGTTACTATATATGCATATATACGTCTTGTGCATTGTGACCCTTGTGTTAATCTGTCTGTGTGATTGTGTTATATATATGCATATATATGTCTCATGTATTGTGACCTTTGTGTTGATCTGTATGCCTGTCAATGTACTTGATAGTATTTAGTAATGACTTACAATCAATGGTGTAGTGTAGGGCATGGAAATGTTGACATGATACTGTTGCTCCTAACTTCCTTTTTTGTGCTTGTTATATGCTTCATGGTGACTAGTGTTATCAAGAAAAAAATCTAAATTAAATTTTATTGGAGTCTGAAAGTTTCCTTCCAGTGTTGCATCTCTGATAAAGATTAGCATGACTATTTAAAGGACATCATTAGTTGTGTAATTATTAAATGTCCTATAATTTGGTCCTTGTGCAATGAAATGTGGAATATGAGATTACTGTGAGTTGAGATACTGAAATTCATCTGTTCATCTGGACGCCTTCTCATGAATTTAGCATTTCAAACTTTCAACTTCATCCTTATTTGTTCTTATTTTGTTTTGACACCTTGCATTTTTTACTTGCGTTGTCTTCTGGGCTCCCATTGGCTGATTGAATAATACTCTATAGCAACAATAAGATATAAATGGCATATTGTCAAATCGATATGTTTGGTCCATGTTATTTGTTTCTGTTATATTGTAATTTTGATTTATATCTGTTTGGTAGTTTTTTTGTATCCATAAAGAAACTAATAATAAACCACCTTAGCCTTTATTTTATTATGGGCATGATATCCGTTGCATTTTGTCATGTCATATGATTAACCTTGTTCTAATTGCCCATTAATTTATTCTGAATGTGACATTACGGATGCTGTCATCTCTTTAATAGAAATGCTCTGAATGTGTATTCTATATATGTTTTTTTCCCTCTCTACAGGCTGTAAGAGTTGAACATTGTGAGCGGGTTCATGTCATTGTAGCAGCAAAACGAATCTGTATTGCAAATTGTCGTGAGTGTGTATTCTTCTTAGGTGTAAATCAACGGCCTCTTATTGTTGGTGACAACCATAAGCTGCAGGTGTGTAACATGTTTTAGCAGCCTTCATTCCTCTTTCTTCTAATCATAGCTTGTGAATTGTCAATTGTGCAAAGAAATTTAAAATCCTTTTTTTTTCCCTCTCTCTGAACACTGTGCCAACAATTGTTTTTTTTTTTAATTTTTTCCTCTCTCGATGGATACTGTGCCAACAATTGCTATGTTAAGTTTTTGATTTAATTGATTGGGTACTGTGTAGTTGTCTATATTTTTGTACATTCGGATGAGTTTGTAAAGCTTAATTGACTTCAATGGTTGTTTTAGTGCCCCATGTACTTGATTGAGAGTACTCCATTTTGCATAGAACCTGGAATATGTACACTGTTTTCTATGCGATGAGAACAAATATGTTTTTCTCAAAATTTACTTTGAATAGTAGCTGTGTTGGATAGAAATATGATCACATGTATATTTCAATCTAGTTTCTGACCTTTCGCAAGAGAATGGACTTGTAATTTTTTGTGGACATCCAAATTCTTTTAGCTCTGTTTTCGTGTGTTTTGCATATTCATCCAATTATTCTGATTATAGAGATTGAGTGGTTACATGCCACTTGGAGATGCATTCCTAGACTAGAATTAATTTTATGTTTTGTCCCACTGGAATGAATTTGACATTGACTCTATATTGCCTACTGAACCGATCTTTAGTTCTGATGGTCTTAATAATTTACTCTCTAGTTTCGAATTCTAAAGCTGTGTTTGGATCTTGGATTTGGGAATGGATTTGTGCAGGGAAAAGTGAATGAAATAGAAGCTAATTTATTTTCACAAATTCCCTCTTATCTCTTCCATCCACAAATCCTTTCACAATCCAAGACCCAAAAACAACATTGAAGTAATTTTCTTCGCCTCTAATGGTCTCATTGGTGCATAAGCTGTGTCTTTTGATGCTGTCAATTTGTTTTGGTCATAAATTTTTCTACTGCTTTATTTTCAAGCACTGTTAAATATTGGCTTTTAATACGTTTTTTCTTTCTCAAACAAATTTCCATTAGGTGGCACCATATAACACATTTTACTCACAATTGGAGGCGCACATGGACCAAGTTGGTATTGAGGCAACTATAAAATAATTTAAATAAATTGATTAGTGAAAATGTGAGATGAGCTTATTTCATATTTGAATTAGAGAGTTAAAAAATTATTAAAATAATTTATTTTTAAACGAGTAGTAAAAAATAATTTAAATAAATTGATTAGTGAAAATGTGAGATGAGCTTATTTCATATTTGAATTAGAGAGTTAAAAAATTATTAAAATAATTTATTTTTAAACGAGTAGTAAAAAATAATTTAAATAAATTGATTAGTGAAAATGTGAGATGAGCTTATTTCATATTTGAATTAGAGAGTTAAAAAATTATTAAAATAATTTATTTTTAAACGAGTAGTAAAAAATAATTTAAATAAATTGATTAGTGAAAATGTGAGATGAGCTTATTTCATATTTGAATTAGAGAGTTAAAAAATTATTAAAATAATTTATTTTTAAACGAGTAGTAAAAAATAATTTAAATAAATTGATTAGTGAAAATGTGAGATGAGCTTATTTCATATTTGAATTAGAGAGTTAAAAAATTATTAAAATAATTTATTTTTAAACGAGTAGTAAAAAATAATTTAAATAAATTGATTAGTGAAAATGTGAGATGAGCTTATTTCATATTTGAATTAGAGAGTTAAAAAATTATTAAAATAATTTATTTTTAAACGAGTAGTAAAAAATAATTTAAATAAATTGATTAGTGAAAATGTGAGATGAGCTTATTTCATATTTGAATTAGAGAGTTAAAAAATTATTAAAATAATTTATTTTTAAACGAGTAGTAAAAAATAATTTAAATAAATTGATTAGTGAAAATGTGAGATGAGCTTATTTCATATTTGAATTAGAGAGTTAAAAAATTATTAAAATAATTTATTTTTAAACGAGTAGTAAAAAATAATTTAAATAAATTGATTAGTGAAAATGTGAGATGAGCTTATTTCATATTTGAATTAGAGAGTTAAAAAATTATTAAAATAATTTATTTTTAAACGAGTAGTAAAAAATAATTTAAATAAATTGATTAGTGAAAATGTGAGATGAGCTTATTTCATATTTGAATTAGAGAGTTAAAAAATTATTAAAATAATTTATTTTTAAACGAGTAGTAAAAAATAATTTAAATAAATTGATTAGTGAAAATGTGAGATGAGCTTATTTCATATTTGAATTAGAGAGTTAAAAAATTATTAAAATAATTTATTTTTAAACGAGTAGTAAAAAATAATTTAAATAAATTGATTAGTGAAAATGTGAGATGAGCTTATTTCATATTTGAATTAGAGAGTTAAAAAATTATTAAAATAATTTATTTTTAAACGAGTAGTAAAAAATAATTTAAATAAATTGATTAGTGAAAATGTGAGATGAGCTTATTTCATATTTGAATTAGAGAGTTAAAAAATTATTAAAATAATTTATTTTTAAACGAGTAGTAAAAAATAATTTAAATAAATTGATTAGTGAAAATGTGAGATGAGCTTATTTCATATTTGAATTAGAGAGTTAAAAAATTATTAAAATAATTTATTTTTAAACGAGTAGTAAAAAATAATTTAAATAAATTGATTAGTGAAAATGTGAGATGAGCTTATTTCATATTTGAATTAGAGAGTTAAAAAATTATTAAAATAATTTATTTTTAAACGAGTAGTAAAAAATAATTTAAATAAATTGATTAGTGAAAATGTGAGATGAGCTTATTTCATATTTGAATTAGAGAGTTAAAAAATTATTAAAATAATTTATTTTTAAACGAGTAGTAAAAAATAATTTAAATAAATTGATTAGTGAAAATGTGAGATGAGCTTATTTCATATTTGAATTAGAGAGTTAAAAAATTATTAAAATAATTTATTTTTAAACGAGTAGTAAAAAATAATTTAAATAAATTGATTAGTGAAAATGTGAGATGAGCTTATTTCATATTTGAATTAGAGAGTTAAAAAATTATTAAAATAATTTATTTTTAAACGAGTAGTAAAAAATAATTTAAATAAATTGATTAGTGAAAATGTGAGATGAGCTTATTTCATATTTTAATTAGAGAGTTAAAAAATTATTAAAATAATTTATTTTTAAACGAGTAGTAAAAAATAATTTAAATAAATTGATTAGTGAAAATGTGAGATGAGCTTATTTCATATTTTAATTAGAGAGTTAAAAAATTATTAAAATAATTTATTTTTAAACGAGTAGTAAAAAATAATTTAAATAATCTGATCAGTGAAAATGTGAGATGAGGTCTTGAGAGGACTATATTAGTCAGCAACATGATTGGGAGGCATATTTGACTCATTGTTAAAGGTCACATCAATATTATTAATTTATTTATTTTACTATATAAAAATAATATTGTATGTGTAGACTTTAAAAGTGTGTTTGGGTATATCAGAATTAGAGAAAAACTTTCATTTAAATGACCCATTTACCCTTCTTGATAAAAAAGCTTAGGATAGTTTTACCATTTCTTTACTGCTGGCATATTATTAAGTTTTTTCTAGTGTTGTATAATCCATTTTGTGCATGTGGAAGTGATGGATCAAAATAATAATAATAATAAATTTAACTTTTAATTCTGTTACGAATACAAAAAGAAAGTAAAATATATATAAATAGATTTATAAAATTTGTTGGTAAGATTCACTAAAGATTTTTGTCCATAAACGTAAATTTTGTTTGATTTGTGATCAATTTTGGATAAATTTCAAATACACGCTTGATATTTATTTAAAATATAAATTGTTTCTTATGCTTTGAAAAATTACAAATATTTTTCTATTATAATTTTTTATTTAACAGAATTAATTGAAGAAGTGAAATTTTTAACTGTTCACCTATATAATAATAAAATTATCTGAATTATTAATTGAAATAAAATTTTAACATTATTAAAAACTGTTAATTAACTTAATAATTTATTAATAAAATGACTTATTTGTTATGAAATTAAAAATCTTACCGGACATAATATAATTTTTAAAATCACAAAAAATAATTTATAATTTAAATAAATCTAAAGATGTGTTTTTGTAATTTACCTATCAATTTTTGTGTTCTTAATTTATTAAAACTTTTGGTCCAGCTTTTAATCTATGTCAAAAAGCTGAGGATATATATTTTTGCTATAAAAAGAAAAAAAGCAAAAAAAAAAAAGACTTTTAAGAGGTGAAAAAAGTCTTTATATATTTGCTTCAAACACTGGTTGGAAGTCTCTGTAAATAAAGTTGGAGAGAGAGAGAGAGAGAGAGAGAGAGGCATGGGTATATTAGCAAGAATCTGTTGCTGCTTTTATGGATCTTCAGGTGTACATGGCGGCGACGGTGAAGGTGGTAGAAGAAGAAGATTAGGGAAAATTGTTGAAACATCAGAAACAGAAGCTGAAGCAGAAGCTGCTCCGATTGTTGTTCCCCACTTCCCTGTCAATTCTAATCTCCCTCGTTTATAACTCTTCCAACAATCCAAACATATATATATATATATATAGAGAGAGAGAGAGAGAGAGAGAGAGTATGTTCAGTATATATGTGTTCTTTTTCAACCTTTGCAGCTTGAGTAGTGATCATGAAAATGTTCTGTAAATTATTGTTGATACCCACTGTTAATATTATTAATATTATTGTTGTTGTTGTTGTTGTACTACTCATCTTTTTAATTAACTTTGTAGATACTATTAATTATAGTAATTGAATGTTCATGTATAGTATTTTTTTCATGTTAATTTATATTATATGAAACTACTTCACAAAGTGGTCACACGCATTTTTTCTGTATTGTGTTGCGAGTAATTAGATTTTTTTAATTTTTTTTTTTTATAATAAGAAATATTCTTTTGGTATTTAAACTATATACGCAAAGAGTGTTGTACGTATGCCAAAAAAATATATTATTGACCAATAATTTAAAATGAAATTTTTTTATAAGAAATATTCTTTTGAGATTTCAAAAGCTGATGAAACTTTTAATCGTTTCTTAACCATACAAATTTTGAAATTGTCTAAAGAGATTAATTTCCCAATTCTAGAATAGACAAAATGCAAAACATATTGAAAATGCATAATTATTAGTTTCAGTCAGCAAAAAACTGTGTTGTTTTTTAAAATAAAATTTATGAACAGATTGTGAAAGGGAGGCTCCAATTCCAAGGAAAGCCGAAAAGACTATTTTTCAAAAGTCAATAAAATGAATATTAGGGATGATTTGACATCTTCTATATAATTCATCTTTTTATCTTTTTATTTTTTTTTATCACATCACTTTTATATTTTTTTGTATATCTTTTTATAAAAAAATAAAAAATATACTTATTTAAATCATATCAAACAATCCCTTAATGTGGTAGTCTGAATCAACTTGGAGAGCACGAGAGGGTAACTATTCAAAGGCAAAGAAAATAGGTGTCTCCAAGAGAGCAATATTGGAGGATGGAAAATTTGACAAAACCCACTCTATTTGGATATTTGGGTAGGAATTTAAAATGAAAAAGAAAAAAAGTGTATAAAATGTAAATGAAATTTAGTTATAATTCATTTAAATTTTACCTATATTTTTTTTCTCTATTTTAAATTTTTATAAAAATTCATAATCCAAATACTGTCTAGAGACCAAATATTTAAGTTTAACCTTCCAACTTAAACATGAGTCAGTTTCATTCTGTTTATGCTTGGGTGCAAGGAGTACGTGATTAGTTTGTAATACAAACCAAGGCTAAGATGATTCAAGTGAATGGAGAGGCCAGTAGCTCTTCAGATAGATCTAAAATGGTCAAACTTCTTTAGGTTGCTAAGAATTCAACTTAAATGTTGTCATCCTGAGCCAAATTTCCAGCTCAATTATTATGTGAATGGGGCACAAAATGGCCCATGTAATATATATAACGGACACCAATACATATATATAGGTGTGCAATTTGAGTGATTTCAAGTAAATTGAGAGGTCGTCTAAGCCTAACTTAAGTTGTGTTGAGAGCTATCCAGGCCTACCTAAACTCAAATTAGAACCCGAGATTATTTGACCAAACCCGGCCCGA